TAACCTCCTCAGCCAGCACAAAGCAAAGACTCATTCCAGCCTTATCTGCCTCAGCCAACACTCCCCAACACGCTGCAGCGGAGCAGAGCCCCCCCCAACACACAGGACCTGGCTGTGGGAGCAGCAATCTGGGCAACAAACCTGAGTCCTGGCGATTTCAACCCATCTCCAGGCTGGAAGAACGAAAATAGAAAGCACCCAGCTTGTATTTTCTTATTACTCAGAGGACAAACCACTGATTCCAGCTACTGAGGAAACAGCTTCCAAAGGAGAGCCGGGAGGAACTTCAGTGATAGAGAAACTAACTGTGCAATAAGAAAGTGCATTTAAAGGTAGCTTAAAAACCAGATTAAAGATCAAATCGCCACTCGACAGGAGGGAGAATCAAGCTCCAGCAGCCACGCTCCTTGGGCTGGGTGAGTTTACATTCAGGCTCTGTCTCGCGAGTCCGAGGGGCAGGAGAGAAGCATTCCCGTGCTCCGACAGGGACACAGTTCTCCTGGCAGGCCATGCTCTCCTGCCCAGTTTGCTTCTGTGTGGTACCAGTTCTGGACAGCTGTCATCGGAATTCATAGATAGGAGCACTGTGCTCAGGAACATGAGTTAAATTCAATGACTGATACCTGGGAGAGAAGGAAAGAGATGAAGAGGATTACAGAGAGCAACAGAGCTCCCCTAGCACTTGGCAGGCCCCAGGGCAGACAGCCTGGTGGGTGGCTCTTCTCTTCCCCTTTACAGCCCCAGAGGTGTTCAGGCACCCAACACCCACTTACCCACAGTGCCAAACCCCTCAGCATCATTCTTCCTTTCCATTCCCTGAGCTACCTGCAGCCAGACTGTGTCTGAGGTGGGCTCTGGACACCTTTTGAAGTTCAACAACTTTCATGTTCAAACAGTGTTTGCTATGACTGCAAATCACACTCAGGTCTTTCAAAGCTCAGCTTCAGGGGATCTGTCTGAAAGCCTCCCAGGTACTTTCCCTCCCCCTGGGAGCTTCAGCCACCTTACAGATTCAGTTGCTGTGTCACATCCCAGGCTGTCAGAGGGAAAAGAGCTCTCCACAGCTCACTGTCAGATCCTTGGTTCTAATAAGAAACCAACTGATTAGGTTTGACTGTTCCTTTGTCTTACAGCAGCACCCCAAGGACCTTGGACTACAGCACACTGGCCTGACATGATTTCTGCCTGAAGAGAGCAACAGCCAAGCTGTTACACGTGAGGAAGCACTGAGCTCACTCTCAGAAGCCCCTCTGACATCCTCCGAAGGGGCAAGGCACTGAGAAGCTCAAAGCCTTAATCACTGAGCACAATTCACTGAGGGAGCACAATTCCACACATGAGATCAGGCTGCCCTGTGCTCGTCTGTCCTCACAGGAGGGCAGAAGCCCTGTGAGCACTTGGACTGGAGACAAGGCTGCTGGAGGGATGCTTTTAGTGAACCACAGCTGGTATATGCCTGCCAATGCACCAGAGCATTGCTCTGCTGAGCCACAGCACATCTCCAGACCTTGTATTTCCCCTGCTCCACATCGCCAGCCCAGTTATTCCCCACCATGCAGGAAGGGCAGCACTTGATACCACACAAATGGGCTGCACGAACCTGCTCTGGCCAAAAGCATGGCACACACAGCATCCCTTCTGCCCCGAGGTCCAGCCACCAGGCTGAACCCCCTTCCCAGCCCAGAGAAGCACTGCCTGGACACTCCTTGGTTGGAGGAGCAGGAGGAGGGAAGCTTCCTTACCATTCTGAACTCCTATGGTAGTAATAGCCCTCTATAGATGCTGCTGACTTCTGGAAGCAGATGTAATAGAAACCAGCAAAGGAAGCACCACTGATGTCTTTGATGGTGTGATCTGGGACTAGGAACTGTTCCTGCACACAAAACACAGGCTCTATTTTAAAACATCAGTCAAATACAACCCCTCCCCTCAATGTGCCCTCCCAAACTGAGTATTGGCACACATTCCTGGCTGAGCACTCCCTGCACCCTCAGCAGCCAGACCACAGAGACCAGTGTGTTCTTTCACCACCTGCCACTGTAGGCATCTTGCAGGGAAGAAGACAACTGAGGACAGAATCTCTCACAAGAGGGCACGAGATCAGTTTCAGTTCAAACCAGAAGCCAACTGCAAAATCAGCAGTCAGAGCCAGCTGATGATGAAGAGAGAGCTCTGGGGAGACCTTACAGCCTTCTAAGGGGCTTAGGTGAAAGGTGGAAAGACTTTTTACCAGGGCATCTAGTGATAGGAAAAGGGGTATCGGTTTTAAACTAGAAGAGGGTAGATTTATGTTAGGTATAAGGAAGACTTTTCTTTGCTGTGAGCAAGCCAGTGGCACAGGTTGCCCAGAGAGGTGGTAGATACCCTACTCCTGGAAACGTTCAAGGTGAAAAGATGTCCCTGAGTGGGGAAGTGGTACCAGATGACCTTCAGCTGCTTCTTCCAACACAAACCATTCCATGTTCCTATGATTTCCTCCCCTTGCAGCTGCACAAGGCTCATGTAAAGAGGGAGGAATCAATCCAGGTGAAGAACAGAGAGGTGCAGAGTGTCCAGCCTGTGTCACACACACAGGCCCCACACAGGGACTGGAGACACCAATTCTCTCATCACCAAGCCAGATTTTCCTGTTGTGTTTTGAGCCATGACTAAAGGCCTTCAGGATGCAATTAGCTGGCTAGACAGGAGTCATGCTGGAATTGGCAACTATGGTGGGTTATGACGTTGGGAGGGTGAGATCTTTCATTAAATCATCAGAGCTGACAAAGCTTTCAGGTACCACAAAGCCTCTGCCACTTGCAAGCAGCTCATCAGAGAAGAAGACATGTGGAGTTTACCTTCCATCTCATGAAGACATAGTCCCCATTTTTCAGATCCTCATAGTCAAAGTCATCAGAGTTAAATGTTTTTGCATACTGGTAAAAAGCCTGGAACTTCCCCTGAAACACAGAAGAAAACATTCAGGATGCTTATTCCAGCTCATTGGTGCCAGCTGCTATTTAGGAAGGAAAAGCTGCTACAGAACAGGACCTGCTCACCAAAGGGGCTCTTCCCTTGGAGCTGTGTAAACACGTACCCCAGGATGAGCAGAGGGGAACAGAGAGCATTGCCAGGCACCCACAGAGAGCCATGTCCAGCCTGGCTGGAGGAGCTCCTACACTTCCAGAGGAAGCTATCTTGACAGAAACATAATAAACATCAAACTCTGGCAAACAACAGCAAAGGCCAAGGCAGGGAGGCAATGAGCTGCCTGATCCAGAGCACAGGCACACCCTGCCCTGAGCAGAGAGGGTTGAGGTTGCCAAGACACAGGTACCAGCTGCCCTGCCTGTGCTAGAGGGGCACCTTCCCCTGCTCTGCTCTAAGCCCCATCCAATCTAGCTCTGAACACTGCCAGGGATGGGGCTAATTGCCTTAAATGCAGGATTTAGCCTTAATTAGAGGAGCTGGGGGGTGGGGTGTTCCCTCTACTTTGTGATAAACCTTCAAAATAAGGAGTGGGTTCCCTTGTGGGAGGGTAAAGAGATGGGGATTGTTGCTGCTCCCTTCCAAGCCCAAGGCCAGCAAGCAGAAAAGCAGATGCCCCCTCCCCTGTCATGTACCACAGCCACCAGCCTGCTGATAGAACCTTTACCTGCACAGATCCCAGTGGGGGAAGGAGGGAGACACCAAAAAAGGAGAGGTTTCCAGGCCCTTCTGACAGCTCTGGCTGACATGCTGCACCTCACCTCCAAAGCAGCTGAATTGAACCCCCATCTGCCCCCCAGATTTATTCACCCAGTGTTTCCGATCCACGTCTTCATCAGCATCCCACTTGCGTGTTAAGAAAGGGTGTTTCTTACTGATTATTTCGCCTTCAAAGAAAGTGGTGAGGGTTGGATACTCCTGGGAGAGAAGAGAGATGAATGAGAGGTCAGATTTGTCACCTCAAACAGACAGGGGTGCATGCACCCAGCAAGAAGCCACATCTTCCAGAAGGAGCTCTGAGCAACCCAAGGCCCAAGAGCTGGATTAAGCCACCCAGGGGAGAAAATCTCCTCTCCAGCTTTGCCTTGGCACTGGCTTAGGAGAGCACAGGCAGGGAATAGCAGACTCAGCTGGGGTGAGCAAGCTTCTCCAATCATCATCCCATAGAGACAGCTCTCCCTGACTGTCCCACACCATGAGCAAGCTTAAGAGGATGGATGGGAGAGGAAATATGTGAAGATTTAACTGTTCAGTTCCTGGTTTCTTTCCTTTCAGCAACACACCACCACTGGTAGAGTGTCTAAAGCTGACTGCAGGGTCAGATTTGGTCTGCTCAGACCTTAAGGGATGCCAGATGAACTTCCCTCCTCCAGGACTCCCATCCAGGCCCACTGTACTTGCTCTACATGCCAAGAACAGACTGAAGCTGTTAAACTGTTGGGTGATGAAATCTACTCTATGCTCAATCCCTCCACTTCCTATTTCTAATGGCAGTTTCTCCCATCCCACCAGGAACAAGCAAAGCCTTTACATGCATCTTTCCTTGCTGTTTTGCACCTACCACTCACCTCTGTAAGGCCTTTAATCTTCAAGTATCCACAGAGATAGGAGTTTTCCATATCCACATGCTAGAAAAGAGCGCAAGGTCCAACCATGAGCACAGGCAGGAAGGCACCCAATTGATCCAAAGCAGTTTCTGAGCCCTCCAAGGCTCCAGCTCACTGCCCAGTGCTCACACTGGCAGCACTTCCCTATGGCTAGAAACCACTTGGAATGACCACCTAAAGGTGCTCAGCTCACCTCTGACATCCCTGATACTACCCTGCCTGCTTCCAGCTCCATCACTAGGGCAGCAGCCTCTGCCCATGTCTCCAGTGGGAAGCAAACCTTCCCCCTTCCACCCAGATGAAGCCAACTCAGTTTTCTCCAAGCAAGAGCACCACTGACAGAATCACACCCCCAACCCCACAGCTCCCCATCAACCTCCACCAGCGAACAAGCGTTCAGGTGAGAGAAGAGTAAAAAGCATCTACTTACTGGAGGTAATTCAGGCTAGAGGAAGAAAGCAGAGCCCTCAGCTTTGCCCTCTGCTTATTTAACAGGCCTGGCCCACACCTCACTAACTCACTACTCATAGACTGGTTTGGGTTGGAAGAGACCTTAAGATCATCCAGTTTCAACCCCTGCCATGGGCAGGGACACCTTCCACTAGAGCAGGTTGCCCCCCAAGCCCCTGTGTCCAACCTGGCCTTGAACACTGCCAGGGATTGGGCATTTACCACTCCTTTGGGCAACCTGTGTCTCCTGGCAGCAGGGTGCACACCGAAGCCTGCTCAGAAGCCAGATGAGGTCCCATGTGCTTTGAAGGAGGCTTTTCTCCCAGATCCAACACTTTGATGCCACCCTTCTTTGGAGTTACGGGGCTCCATCTCTCCGGGCAGGATGCTGCACTGGTTCCAAGCACCTTTAAACCTAGGGGATTTTCCAAGTTTTTCCCTTGGCATCTCCAGCTCCGTTCTCAGAACAAGCAGCGAGTTATTTGGGGAAGTGCAGACACTGAGAAGACGAGTCTTCCCCACCTGTGCTCCCAGGAAAGCACCATTTCCCTGCGCTCAGCACAGGGAGAGCAGCAGCAGCCACCTCTCCTCAGCTGCCACACATGAAACAGCAGCATTTATAGCACAAAGGCACTGCCAGCCCCTGTGTGCAGTGGAGCTGAGCAGCCATAGGATGTCCCCACCGCAGCAAACCCCACCAGGTACACCGGTGCTGCTGGATCTGGTTCAAACACTCCCCCATCTCCTGGCCCTGGGGCTCCCCATAGCACCGTCAGCCTTCAGCACTGCCCTCACTACAGGCACCACCACAGTTCCTGTGCCACCAAAGTGGGAACAAAGCTGTGAGCAGGGTGCTCTGTAGTAAAGTGTGTCTCAGATGGCTGCTTGGCTGTGTATTAATGACTCCACACCTCACAGCTCTGCCCAAAGCGACCCTGCCAGGGCCTAGGACTGAAATAAACCATGCAGGGTGACAATGACTGCAGGAGGAATGGCCACAGGAGCCAGAGCACCCATTCTCCAACACACTACAGCTGTCTGGTTGCATTCCTGGCTCATATGAACCACTGCTCTTCACCTCATGCTCCCTGGGGGAGCCTCCAACACCGCAGGGATGGAGGACCCTGGGTCCAGCTCCGCCAGCAGGGACTGGGACCTGGCTCCCTGCTGCTTTCCAGCCAGGCCTGAAATACAGGTCATCCCGCTGGAAGGGCTTCCCAGGACACCACCCACTCTCACCCTTCTGTCCTGCGTGGCCACTCCACAGCCTGAAGGGAACAGGGGAGGCAGCCCAGGTTATGAACCTTGCCAGGCCCAAGGGGAACGGGGCACAGAGGGGAGGGGAAAGGCTTGAGCGCAGTGAGCTCTGCTCAGGGTTTGAGGGCAAGGTGGCCCTGAGGGAATGGAGTCACTCCTGGGACCGGAGGGGAACAGGACACGATCTTTACCGCTTATCCCAACAGGAAAAGGGAGCACAGGAGGGGACAGAGATCTCTGCAGAGCCTGAGGACTCAGAGCTGTTACCAAACCAGGAGGCCTACAGGGAGGCACAGCCAGGTCAAGCAGGACCATGGGCCTCCCCAGGCCCCCACGGCCTCTGCAGCGGGGAATGGGGACGGAAAGGGGTGTTCCTCCCCCCCA